GGGGCTGCGGGAGGACGCACCCCGGGACGGAAGCCCGGCGCAGCCGTTCTCGCAGCACCTGAGGCTGACGGCTCTGCCTCCTCTGCTCTCCAGAGCTTGTGACCAGGGCTGCGTTCCCTTAGACTCCAGCTGTGACACTTGCGGAGTTGCAAGCACCAGGTGTAAAGGGACAGGGATAGAAGAACCGCTGAGCTCGCCAGGTACGTCTGGGCCACTGGCCTGCTGTCCAGGCGCGTGCAAAGTTGCGTCCGCAACGCGTAGTTGGTCTTTCTGCTGATTGAAGCGCACGCAGACCGCACGCACGCCCGTCCCCTCACCGCGTGTGTTGTCTTTGGCGTTGCATCCTCCATGAAACTTTACACACCTAGCAGGCCATTTATAGGTAAGAACACAGCTTACTCCTTACGTTGTATTTAACTAAGAGGTTGATGAACTACGTAACGTTTTCCTATCCTTCAACATCTAAAAATCCTTTAAATTAGAACGCAATTTTTTCTGATAACATTAAATTTAGATTTTAATAAGTTTCATGTGGCTCAATAATATCTAAAACTTATTATTATACATTTAAAATAACCCAAACACTGCTAATACAAAAGCTGATAATCTGCCATTAATGCAATGTGAAAGAATTAATTTTAACTTTCTAGGTAATGGTCTTGAGTGGAGAATGAAATACCACTACAAAATTGTGTTCTTACTTCGTACGTAAAATCTTCTATATATACAAAATTTTAATGGCTCTCTCTATATATAATTTAGCCCACAAACAGTACTTACTAGATTCTGGTCCTGTATCTATCCTTTAACTCTTTTGATCGCATGTATTTTATATATTTGGTACAGGGTCTCACTATGTAGCTTGGACTCATAGTGATCTTCCTCTTTCAGCCTCCCCAGCACTGGGATTACCGGCGTGCGCTGCCACGCCTAGTTTCGGCGGTCTCCTTGGAGCATCCAGGGCAGGCCGGCATGGCACGTGGTACTGGAGATCCAACCCAGGTCCATGCTCTTGTCCATGCGCACCCGTAGACAGCTGAGCTATCTCCGTGGCCCCTCATGTATTTTAAAGATAAAATTTGCATTTTGCTCTTGTATTTTATCTTTTCCTTTTTCACTAAATGAAATGATTACTGTCAACATTTTGATATTATAGATCATAAAAGACTGGCTAGACAGTCCCAAGAATTTCAAAACTGCTGAAGCGCGGAGTAGCATTGACATCTAAAATTTCACACACTGCTCTTCTGCAGTCTCTGGCTTTGGGGAGGGCGTCACACAACACCTGTACCCACAAGGGCCAGTCACTCTTCGGGCCACACCACAGAGGGCATCCCCTGGGGTAACGCACACAGCTACCTGGCTGCTAAACATTTTCTTTTGTGAATTTCCCTGAAAGTGTCAGCAACAAAATCAGAAAACTGTAATTATTTCTGGGAACTGTGTGTAAGGACTCATTTGCACGAAAGAGCGTAACATGGGAACTGTGAACTCTGGGTGTGCTGTACAGATGAACCAAATCCTCCCGAACTGCAGCAGAAAAATGTCATCTGGAGTGGAAATTCATCAGTTTACTGTCTTAAGAAAATCCACTGCAATAATACTCAGAATCCTCCTTTTTGTTTCCTGGACACATTTGATTTACTTGATATAGTCCCATAAACAAATTATTCAATAATTTGAAGTGATTTTTTCCAAGTTCACATGATTGAAATGTTTTTGGTAGAGGTGAATAGAAAGCAGAACACACTGTTTTTAAACGAAAGAGTTATAAAAATTAAAAGTATATATTCCTACATAGACAAATAGAGGCCAATTATTCAGAAATGAACTCAGCATATTGTATGTTTATTATAGAATATTTCCAAAGAAGAATAAGCATCAAGGTTACTTGATACTGTAACTATAGCCTGCACAGTGAAGGACTTACTGTATTTTTCCACATGCTGGGTAAACCGCATAATGTAGAAGCAGTAAAATAGCTCCACCACAAGTATGCCTGCACATTTCCAGTTCTTATTCCTTTTCCTTACTTGGATAGCTTTCTTTTGCAGTGATAAGAAGAACCTTCAAAATGCTGAAAAGAACCTAAGAATACATTATCCAAGAGAAATTCCAGGGAGTGTATTCTGCTACTTGGAGGGCCGTCAAACTGGAAGTGTCTCTGGTGCTTCTTGAGGGACCAGGCAAAGGCAGCCAGTCATGCCTCTTTACATCGATGTGACTGACCAAAGATTAAAGACGCTCGACAATTGTGCACGGGGTGCTGTTTCCATGACTGTGTTTAAAAGGGTCAGAATTCGCAAGGCAAGATGAGTCTTACCTGCGATGCACTTGACAAGCTATCAGCATAAATTGCAAGCAATGTTGCTTTTACAACAGCAAGGCAGAATTAGGAGGAAGATGGAGAAAATACAGAATGAGCCAGTTCAAGGAAAGTATACTCCTCCACTCTTAAACTCTTTTGTCCACCCAGTTAATCTATACAGTATAATAAAATTTCCTTGTCTGGTCTCTGCCGAAAGGTCTCAGGATAACACAGCAAACTAACCGGCAGGGTGCTGTGCTGATGAAACGATCTGCTCTTACGGTGGGACAGTAGAAGTAAATGATGATACATGGAAAGTTCAAATAATAATGATTTGGCTTGCTGTCAATAGGGGGACGCTATAAAAGGCTCAACATTGTGTGCATAGACCTTAGTCAGACCAGGTGCGCCTTGTGCAGATGCTTTTGGGCCAAGACCTGAGCAATGGCGGAGCAGCCTGGAAGGAGAGACACTGGTGCCTTCCAGGCGGGACGCTCCCGCAAAGGTCCCGGGGCAGGGGTGAATTAGGAGTGTGGAGGAAAGAAAGACAGCATACTTGGGATTTAGGTGGCAAAGAGCAGCCCTGGGTGAGCTGACAAGGGGCAAAGGCGTGGAGGGAATTTGCATTTTCCCACCTGCCATGAAAACCCCTGAGGCTGTGTCACCTGCTGTATGTTTCTGCGAGATGGGTCTGGTTGAAGTGTCACCGCTAGGTTGGGTGTAGCAAGGTTGGGTAAGAACGGAAGCTGGGAGCCGTTCAGAAGCTTTGCGGCAGTCTAAGGAAGCACATGGAGGAGCAGTCCTAAAGCTGAAAGGAGACTGATTTGGATTAGGTGGTAGCTTTGGAGCAGAGCCAGTAGGACTTGCAGATAGCTTGTGTCGTAGAGGTGACGCACTGCAGAATAAGGAGAACAAGAGCCCTCATGCTGCAATAGAAAATAGAGTGCAATTCTGGGAAGAAAAGCCTTGAATGTCAGATGATATTGGTGTTAGATGAGACCAGACGTCTAGTTAGACCTTGTACCTGAGTGTCTGCCTCAGTGGCAGCAGATGGCCTGCCCGCCTCTGCGCAAGGCTTCCCGCGGTCATGGCGCCTTTGGGAACAACTTCATTAGTGAGGCCGGCGCCATTCAGATGATTGTAAGCTGAATACCGGCATAGTCTGAAGAGTTTTTAAAAAATCAATATGGTACTGAAAACATGTATCTTGAAAATATATCAATTTTAGGGTCTAATAAAGAGACTTTCCCATTCTGTTCTATTTCATGTTTGCTGCTACACTGAAAGACTGCAAGTTTAAGCGAATGGGAAACAGCTTGTGGAGAACTGAAGGGATAAAAGTTCAAATTTTTATGAGACTTTAGAAGATGGAGTGCACAAAAGGCTGATGGGCTTTTCTGCTTCTCTGCAAAGGATTAGCTGCGAAGCAGTGACGTCACCTAGAAACAGAAAGTGCGCAGCATTGGAATCAAGAAAAACCTTGTAGATTTAAGAAACAAAATACCTCAGCAGCCTCTGATTCGTGCAGCCCTAGTGGGATAAGTTAGAGAGCAATTAGTTCTGGGTAATTAAGTCCATCCATCAGAAACGAGACCTGGATTCTGTGATGTCACAGCAGGCTTACATGTCTGTAGAGTAAGTCAAAGCGCTGCAATTGCCGGGTGTGGCGGTGTGGCCAAAGCCCATCAGAAATGCTGCCCATTCCATTTGGGGACCCCCAAGGATTTTAATCTAGGTAACAAAAGAGAACAGAGAGAGACATTATCGCATAGATGTGAAATTTCACAATTTGTAGACTGCTTCTTACAAAACATAGATGATCCTGCCTTTTAGTACCTTATAAGGGGTTTAGTTTAAAAAATACACAAGGATAAAATGTCTCCGTAATTTTATTCAAAAATACCTTTAAAATAAGGACAAATTTGAAGGACTTTTGCGTCTGAACGCCAAGATTCGTTATGAAGCTACCATGAAGAAGCATGAAATTAAAAATGACTACTATGTACAAAAATAAAGGCAGGACATTCTTTTTGTCAGTGACAAGCCACAGAGAAGACACTGTTTGCAGTACTTATGACTCACAGAAGATTCACGTGTGAAATGTCTAAAGAACATGAAAATCAAGGTGGGCAAACCGAGCAGACGTTCACAGAAGGTGTGTCAAATAGCAACTGAGCATACAAAATACACTGAGCCTCATTAACAATCAGAAAAATGCAAATTGAAAGCACAATAAGTTAGCACCATGTAAGCAACAGAAGGGCTAAAATGAAAAAAAAAATAAATTGTGGAATAACTTGACTTGTGACGCATAACAGGTTGGAGGAAAAAACCTCCACACACACTTTGGAAACGTCAGAGTAAACTTATCTATGGTTTTATTTTTTTAAGTTTTTATTTATTTTAGTTCTATTTATTTGTTACAGGATCTCACTGTGCAGCTCGGACTCATAGTGATCCTCCTGTTTCAGCCTTCCCAGTGCTGGGATTACAGGCATGCGCCACCCCGCCCGGTTTTGGTGGCAGGCACAGCATTTCCAGGACCAGCACGGATGCAGTATCAGGGCTAGAACTCGGGCCCTTGTGTTTGCCAGGCCAGTGCTTAGACCACTGAACTATCTTCCCAGGCCCATCTCGATGGTTTTACAATTAGAATGAATTTTACTTTTGGGGACTTGGATGACATTAGCAGTTGGCAGAAAACATGTACAGGATTTAAGAGATACTGGTAATTACATGCTGTCTTCTGGGTAGCGGCAACTTAGGTGTTCATTTTGTGATTTTTCAACCAGATAAGATTTATATAGCAAGTTATACTTTAAGTATGTATGCATAAAGTTGTACATAAATTAAGCTTTACTAAACAAATGTAAAAATGTCTGTCAGTCATTTTTCAGTTAAAATTTTGTTTAAAATATACAAAGAAAAGAATTGAATAAGTTAAAAATTTTAAATAGTATAGTTTGGATAATTGTATTGTCAATTTCTGCTGGGCTTTTGAAAGGTGCTTAAAATTTTTTTCTTTTTTCTTACTCTGATTTTTTTTTCCTCTTTTGAATTTCTTATAACTTTTTTGTTATTTTTTTTCTTTAAACAGATCTTGCACATTTATATAGGTAATCTGAACAACTAATTTGAAGATAGTATTATGCAGTGTGGCAGCCATAGTTGAATTTTTATTACTTTGGTGAAAACTTGCATCATTTGTAAGCTGTTTTTTTTTTTTATTCATTATTGTGAATAAAGAAGCTGAGCTGAGAAGATCCTGTGTATGCAAAGTTTTAGAACACACCAACAAGTCTGTAGGGACAATAAACAGGCCCAAGTTTCTTATGCAAGGGGAAGAGGGAAGGACAAATTACAGAGTCACAGGTAAACTTTATGGGGACAAAAGTGCTCCCTGTGTGGACTATAAGGAAGATTTCCAGGGCATGTACACATGTCACAACTCATCAAATTTGTACCTTTAATTTAATTTAATTAATTAATTTATTTATTCTGTGTTTTAGGGAAGGGTCTACACAGTGTTTAGGGTCTCACTACTGGATCCAACTTGCAGTGATCCACCTGTTTGCAGCCTCCCAAGAGCTGGGATTACAGGCGCATGTCACCACGCCAGTCTCAATCGTCTCAGCGTGCCTCTGGGATCGAATCCCCAGCCCCTGAGCCTGCTTGTAGGTGCTTTAATCTGCTGAGCTATTTGGCTGGCCCAAATTGTACTTTTTGAATATGTGAAACTTACTATACTTTGGTTATACCATCAGTATAGTTGGGAGACAGAGCAATAAAGCTGTAAAACAAAACAAACCAAACCATTCCTATTCTGTATTGCGGACTTGCAATGTCCCCCAAAGGCCCTTGTGCTAAAGACATAGGCCCCCTTGAGACCATTTGAAGATGGTGGAAACTTTAGCAGGTAGGGCCTTGTGAGAAGTCTTGTGGTCACTGGGGTGGGCCTCCAAGCGAGTGGTGACATCTGGATTCTTCCTCATTCTTTCTCTTTTTCCTCCTGGCTGAAGTGAGAGTCTGCTCTGCTAAGCACTGCTGTGGAGATGAGCTGCCTGGCCACGGCCGGAAAGCAACGGGGCGCATTGATGCTGGGCTGGAATCACTAAGCCGTGGCCAGCTGATCCTTTGGGCCTTGTGAGATGATTTTCTCAGACATGCTTATAGCCATAGGAGGCGAATCAACCTGGAAAAGGCAGCTCCCACGCAGCAGTCTCTGCTACCTTGAGGTGTGTGTGTCATGGTCACCCCTTCTCTGACAGCATTTCCTCTTCCCTGAGAGCTGCTTGCCCGTCCAACCGTGGCCAAGGTCACCAGGCCTGGGGCATGCTGGTCATGTTACGCTCCCCCCGACACAGAGATGGCTGTGTAACTCAAGCTGAGGTCCTCCGTGTCCTTTGTCAAGACTGAAATGGAGCTGGGGGAAAGGCCTGTTTCTTTTTTGGCGTCACAGCCTTGGACCAGAGACTAGGGCTGTGGGAAGGTTTGTTCCACGACAGTGTGGAGCATACCTGCCTGGATCTACAATAAAACTGGCACGTAGAAAGGAAAGATGAAGGAACAGACACAGGGAGGAGAAGGAGGTGCATAGAAAAGAAGGGGGCCGGTGGGTGAGAGATGGAGGAAGAAAGGAGGGAGGCGGATGGAGAAAGGAAGGGGGGGGGCTTTGTCCTCGGAAGGCTCGAGTTCTGAGGCGGCTTCTGTGCCAGCCGCCTGCAGGACAGACTCATGGGCCAGCTCGCTTGCCTGGTCAGCCTGAGACCCTTCAGGTTGCGATCATTTCCAAGAGAAGAGTCGTGGCTAACACAGCGCTTACTCGGTGCTCTTCTTTCAGACCAACCAGATTTACATATTCTCTGACCTGCCGCCTTCTCTGTGCTTACAAAGCAGCTCTGGGTGCTCCAGCGGGGGCGCAGAAAGGCTGGGTCCCCCACGTGCATGTCCTTGGGGACTTTTCCCTCCTGTGTCGCCCAGCTGCAGGGCACTCTTCCTGAAGTTTCTTTGCATTGTAGGATGTGGAATATATTTTTTTCTTGGCAGTTTTAGCCTCTGGTGGCTAATAGAAATGGAATGTTAAGAGGGATGGGTTGGCTAGGGAGAGGAGGTGGCAGTGAGCAGAGACGTCCCTCGCTCCTTCTGTCCTGCTCGGCGGTAAGTGTGGGGAGCCAGGCTGCGGCGCCCCAGCTGAGCTGCGCTGTGCAGTGAGTCGCTATCCGGCTGCGGCCCAGCGTCCATCTGCCAAGCTCACTTCATGGTGTTCGCGTGCGCTTTGGTGCACTTTTTGGTGCCCTCTCTGGGAACATCAACTAGGAAGCTGGGGATCATGAGCCAACGGTGCTCGCAGCCCTCTTGTGACAAGCCTGACAGGTGGTCTGCAAGACATGTTAGTCCTTCTCCGGCAGATGAGCAGGCCTGCGAGTGTTTACAGCTTCCCTCGAGTGTTTCTCCATTATGAAAACGCAGCGCTGCAAATCCTGGTCAGACAGCAGGCCCATTCCACCAAGGGAAAGCGTGGGCTTGGTGTCCATCTCTCTGCGGACGGCCCTTCTGCCAAACGGGCAGAGGGCACAGGGCAGAGCAAGGACCAGCTCTAGGGAGATGACGGGTGACGGACGCTGTGGCGTCAGGCCGCCACTTCTCTCCATGAAAGTCATCGTCCCTTGTTGGCTCCTCCCCTGACAGTAGCTAAATGAGGAGCCGGCTGATAATCAGCAGCTGAGAGGGGCTGGTGAGGGGAGTCACGGAAGAGGTCGCTTCCCCCAGGATTATTTATATCTGCGGTGCTCAGCACATTTTTTCCAGGTAATCCCATCTTTATAATTTGGCGTTGCCTTTTTTTTTTTTTTTCCAGAGGAACTGGTGATTGAACTCAGGCCATTGTGCTTGCCAGGGAAGCGCTTATTCTACCGAGTCATCTCCCTGGCCTGGTGTTGCCTTTAAGAGATTATTCTTACTTGAGTTTAGAATTATTGGAGAAACATCGTCTATGATTTACATCCTATTTCTGCAAATGCCTTGTGTTACACTTTCTAGAAGTAGTGAATGGGCTTGTTAGAGGTGAAGAAGATGTAGATGGTGCTTCCAGAGCTAGGCAGAGAGAGGCACTCAGAGGCCGGAGTCTGGGAACTGGACTCCCCACAGGCCTCTAAAATTGCAGCCATCTTCCTAAAATTCACACACACACACACACACACACACACACACACACACACACCCAGATAAGACTGTAGTCAGAATATTTGCTTTAAATACTGGAATATTTTTATTATATTTTGTCATAAAATCTCTTTTTCATAGGAAACAGTTAATTGCCCTATTGCTGGATGATAGCTTGGTCTTCCTTTTTTTTTTCCTTTTTATGTATTTAGTACAGGATCTCACTATACAGCTTGGACTCGTAGTGATCCTCCTGTTTTCAACCTCCCTAGCGCTGGGATTACAGGCGCGTACTGCCACGCCTGGCCTTGGTGGCCGGCTCAGCACGCCTGGAGCAGGGTCGGCGTGGCATGTGGGACGGAACGCCAGTCCCTACACTGACTTAAGCAGGTGCTCATTCCTGAGTTATCTTGTTGGCCCTGACAGCTTGTTCTTTCTAACACAGAATTATGAATCATTTTTATTTATGCTCGGAGAACTTATCCTTGAGGAATAGATTTCTAGATTAAAAATATTTATGCCCTATTAAGTTCAAGTCATGAAAGCATACACAGAAAGCTTTTATTCTTTGTTAAATCTCCTTATTTGCATATGCCTCTAACTTGATGGTGCGAATATAGCATATACTTAATAATCTATATAAAGCTTTTATTTTTAACAGATGTTCATAAAATATGCTGAAGAGTCATTAAATTCAGGTCAGTAAGATGGAAACTCCTCACAGACCCCAAGTAACTATAAGAAAATTTATTAGGGGTTTTGAATATATATTTTATTGATTTAGTAATGTTTCTGGTCACCATTCACAATGTGACTTAAAAATTATACTGTACCTTGCTGATGCTTTACATAGCTATTGTTAATATGATTTATTTATGAAAGAAAGTGAGAAAGCTATATTGCTATTCTTCACGACTGGGTAATAAAGCTTCACTCTTGTGCAATAAAACACATTTCCAATAATGCTGAATATACTTTCCACTACATTGAATTCTCTTGAGTTTTAGCCGCTCTCCATTCTCGAGACTATGATTTATGCTTCCAAATGAACCAGATGTTCTTTGGACTCTGAAGTGAAAGGTCTCATTAAAATGTGTGTGTGTGTGTGTGTGTGTATGTGAGTGTGTGTATATGTGCATATGTGTGTGCATGTGTGTGTAGCTTTCTCTTCAGGGATTTATGCTTGCAAAGACTGTAAATATCAAGAGGTTTCAATTGTTATTGACTTATTTTTTAAATCAGAACAGAGCTCTATAAAGAGATAGTACTGGACAAAATGATTGTGAGAAAATCCTTCTGATAGTGTCTCTGGATTATTCCAGCAGAGTCGTGGTACAAATTTCTTGGAAAGACATAAAAGAAATGTCAGCCTCTGGATTTAGAGAATCCCGGCTAAACAAACAAGGAGTCAGATAAATATAGCCTGTTGAGCGACTAAGTTTATTAGGGTCACTTGCGGAGCTGTGAATGGCCTGCTGGCTGCAGGCTGCCGAAGTCACCCGCCCGGTGCGAGGCTCGTAGCTTTATTGGTTCCAATTAAAACGGCAAAAAAAGGAGCAAAGCAAGAAGCATCGTTGGGAAAAGCTGAGCCTTCCCTCCGCCCTCTTCCTCTGGGCTCCGCCGGCACCCTCTGAGCCGGGTGGACGACCTGGTGGCGCTCAGTGTGACTCACTGTGGGCTGCTGGGCGGCGCTTGGGGGTGGGGACCGCGCAAGGAGTCAGTTGCTGGGGCTGGGAGGACTGCTCCGCTGGGGCCTGCTAGGGCTCGGGGACGCCTGCAGTCAGGTACTTTCTCTCCAGCTTGCTTTTGAATGGTTTCGAAGGTGCGACAACCTGTGTGCGGGATGCCTAGAATGCATTTGCAAATGGACACAAAGACAGCCTCTGCGTCCACAGTCAGCAGTCATGCAGTTCAAGGACCTCAACAGATGGGAAAAACAGGAAATAAAGCGTCTACGTGGAAGCGAAGGAATTCAAGAGGTTTCGTGAATTTACATAAAAGATGTTTCTGTACAGGAATATAAGCCCCAGAATTTCAGCATTTCTCACTATTTGTATTAGCCTACTGTAGGTATTTGATACATAGGCAAATACTCAAAGCAGTGAGCAGAAGTGGGACTGAGCTGTTCTCCGTACCTACTTCGGGCCGGTGGCACAGGGAGAGGAAAGGGTTGGGCCTTTGCTCTGCATGGGGTGGGAAGGCCTGGGAGGGATTCCGGCAAAAGCAACAGCACCCGACCACAACCTGACCTGCGTTTTCGCCAGGTCGCTCTGAACTGGGCTTTTCCTTCCGTTGTGTCCTACTTAATTTGTTCTCCTTCAACCATAATACCCGACTGGGTGCCTTCCACAACACGTGCGTATTTCTTAGCGCTCTGGAGAGCGAGGTGCCCAAGAATGAAGTCTGAGGCAAGTGAGTTTCGGGGGAGGACCCTCTTCCTGACTTACAGTGACTTACAGTGACCACCTGCCTAGTCTCTGCGTGCGGTGTGGAGTTCAAGCCTCGCGGCTCCGTTAGCCCAGCTGATTGCCTCCCGGGGCTTTTCCTCCACTCCATCCTGTTGAAGGTCGGGGGTTCAAAACTGTGAGTGTTAGCAAGCCGCAAACATGCAGTCCACTGCGCCTCCTCCTTTTATAAACTGTAATATGCTGCCACTTTAGTGCTATTTCTCTGATAATTTAGTTCTTTCACTTGAAAAACTTACTGCCATCACCTTCTAGCATTTGTACACATATTACATTTCCATGTATATTACGTTGTTATGAAACGCCGTTTCCTGGTGCTTACAGATCAGTCAGCACATCAGTACTTCATCACTAGTATAAAGATGTTCAGAATTACGAACTTATCCTGTGTGAAGAACTTTTCATCAGTAAATATTTCAGTATTTACATATGATTCTGTTACATTAAATTAAAAACTCCTTAAAGTTCTATGATATCATTGTTTAAAGTAGTTGTTACAAATTTAGCAAGCAAAACATGTCATTTCGCTTAGTGACAAATTAAATTGCTGTGACATTCTGCATGTGCTCAATGAAATAAAAATTACGGCCTCTCTCAATTTACAAGTTCCCTTTATAGGAAATTGGAGCATGTGTGGATTTGCCCTGAATCAGCCATCATAATCCCGGGTCCAGCAGAAGTGATTTCTGGACCTTCCCTGGTGAGGGGCAGGGAGCAGGAAGCTTGGAGAAGACTAGGGTGCGACAGAGATGGAGCAAAGGTTTTCAGAGTGAAAAGGGAGAAAAAGTAAGAAAAGAAGTCAGGCCTATTCGCCTTTTTCTCAGCATCTCCCTGATCTCTTTGTTCTGCCTTATTGAGGGTTTCTTGCCTCTTGGCCTAGAGTTAATAAAAATATTTTCTTTTAAAAAATTTTCAACATGTAATCATTGTACATGTTCATGGTGTGCCCGTGATGTTCCAATTATGTACGTGAAGTGTAATGATTGTGTTAGGGCAGGAATGTGTCTATCAAGCTCAAACACTTATGAGTTTTGTGTTTGGACCATTTATAATTCTTTCTCCTAGCTGTTCTTAAATATTCAGAAAATTGTTGCTAGCTACAGAACATCAGAACTGAGTCCTTTGGCCTAGCTGTAGTTTTGTGCCTACGTCCTGGCCTCTATCACTTTCTCTTCTCCTTCCCTTCCCAGCCTCTGTAGCACTATTTTACCCTCCACTTCTGTCAGGTCAGCTTTTTCAGTTTCCACATTTATGGTGTCTGTCTCCTTGCTTTACATAAATAATGTCCCCCAGTCCACTCATGGTGCTCAGTGGAAGGGATTCTATTTTTTGAATGGCTAAATGATACTCAATTGTGTCAATATGTGATATATTGTCAATTCCTTGGCGAGTGGATGACCAGGCTAGTTAAGCATCTGAGCTGTGATAACCTGCACTAGAATACTCTGATAAACAGGCGTGCAGCGCCTCTCTGGAATACGGAGTTCGTGCAGAATGGGCAGAAGCATGGCAATGCCCAGGATTCAGCAACCGGCTCGTCCAGAGGAGCCCAGGTGCGTGGCCCACCCCCTTGCACCTCAGGACCAGGGTACTGGGGTGAAGCCACACAGTGGGACCTGGACTAGGACGTCCATGCTAGACAGGGAGGCTAGCACGAGGAGCAGTCTGAACTAGGAGCCAACAGGTAGTGAGTTCAGTGAACCAGTGTGGTGCTTAGGGACAAAGACACAGAATAGAAGCAGGTGAGTGGGACTATGCCCCCTTTTATTAACATAAATTTATTTTATCTCACTTTATCTCTGTTTTTCTCTTTTTTTCTGTCACCTCTTTTTTTTCTCTCGGATTTTTCTTATTCAAGTCTTTCCCCACAAACCCAGAGACCAAGTTCAGATAATCCCTGTACTACTCCTTCATTCTTTCTTTCCTACCCCTTCTCTAGTTTCTCAAACCTTGCATGACCGTCCTTTGTCCTATAGCTGTGCTTCCACCTCCTTCCCAGTTATCTTTGTCCTTTGTCTTACGCACCATCTACCATAAATGTCCACACCACAGGATAAATCCACTCTTCCAACAGGAAACACTGAGTACAAACTCCTAATTGACTCCTAATTTTGGTTTTGTTTTAGAACTATAGACTTTGCTCCTATGGTGTAAAGTACAAAAATCAACATTGGCCACAGTTTGTTAATTTCTAAATTATGCGTCATGCTATCATTATTGATAATTGTACTACTGTAGCTAGGATGTCATACATGTTCTAATCAGTTGTCTTGCCTGCTGTAACAATATTGGGGAGCTCTGGGGTAATAACATCGCCATAGCCTTGCACTGAACGACTGGCAATTGAGCCAAACCAATGCCAACGCTCCACCCTCAATCAAGTGGGAAGGTAAGTGTCTTAGTTACTTTCCTCTCCTTGCTGGGACAAAATATTTGACACCAAAAATTAAGGAAGTAAAGCTTTATTTAGCTCAGTTTGTGGAGGTTTCAGTCCATAATTAGCTGGCTCCAAGGCAGAGTGGCACATGGCAGAGGGCAGCAGTTCATGGTGGTGGAAAACAACAAACAGCAAGAGCAAAGGGAGGAGCAGAGAGCAGGACTCTCTCCTTTCCTCGCATTGTGCTCAGGCTGTCCGCCCCAGCGCAGGTGTAGCGCTCACACGCGTAACCTCAACATTGAATCGTGAATTAATCACAAACTCTAGAAGCATGCCCCATGCCCACATGAGGCTTTAGGGGGCTTCCAGACCCAAATCATAATAGTAGGATCTTGGGACAGACAAAAACCAAGAGCCCCCTACATGCAGGAGATATCCCTGAAGAAAAGACTTTTCCTAGAGAGGTGTGGAGACTAGTGATGACCTATGTGGCTTTGTACTACCCAAATTCACAAAGATTACCACAGAAACAAAGGAAAATAAACTTTTCTTTTTCAAATAGAAAATGTCAAGATGAAGGAGAGCAAATGCAACCTCAGGCCACCAGCCCACCTGTAACAAGTCCAGGAGACATCAATATAATAGAATTTGGAAGTCACACATGTGAAATTTCTGAAATGATAGCAACTGAAGTAAAGAAATAATTCCATGATGCTAAAAAGGAAATCAGTTCAGAAATAATGTCAAGTTAAAGAAAAAGAAATGACAACCATAACGAAAGAATTGCTCAGCATATCTAAAGAAGACAGATTAAAAAAAGTAGAGGAGCAAGAAAAATGATGGAAATCTTGACAGAACAAATAGGACAGAATTAGAATGCATAAACAGATTAAAAGAGGTATCCAGGAAATCTAAAACATTTCATTAAATTTTGCAAAACCACTTGAAAAAAACTGGCAACAGAGTTTCAGAACTTGAAAACAGGATTGCAGCTCGTGAACACAAAAAAGAAGATCTTGATATAGATCTGATGGAAGATCATCAACCACATGGAACCAGGAAATGGCAATTCAATAGCTATGAGATGATACAAAGAGAAACAATACAAAATTGAGAGGTGTTAGTGAAAAAACAGGAGTCAGTGCAAACAACATAAAAAGACTATTTGTAGAAGTAATAGTAGAAAATCTCCCATGCATGGGAGGAGAATCCGACATGCAGACAAGTGAAGCATGTAAAACTACAATTAGCCGTAACTAAAATAAATCTGTGCCCAAATGTAATAATTAAGATTGCAGAAAATCAACAAAAGAACAGGATATTAAAAGCAGTTAGAGGGCTGGAGAGGGAGTTCAGCAGTCTAAGCACCTGCCTGACGAGTGCAAGGACCTGAGTTTGATTGCTGGTACCACATGCTGTGCCAGCCCTAGAGCCGCAGGCATGCTATCCTGGCCACCAGAACCGGGCCTGGTGGTGCACACCTGCAATCCCAGTGCTGGGGAGCCTGAGAAGGAGGAGCACTATGAGCCTGCGCTGTGTAGTGAGACCCTGTACCAAATCAATAAATTTTAAAAAATTAAAATCAGAGGAAAGAAATAGATCACTTATAAAGGAAAGCACACAAGAATCATGGCAAATGTCTAACACAAAGCATCATCAAGAAGACCTTGGAGTGAGGCATTTCAAGTCCTTAAAGAAAGCAACTTCAAACCCAGATTGATGTACCCTGTAAAGCTATCTTTCAAAATTAATGGAGTAATAAGATGTTTCCAAGATGAAGAGCAACTGAAGAAACTCATAAGCACCAAACCAGCCCTACAAAGTGTACTGAAAGATATTCTAGAAAGAGATCTGAATAACTACACTTCCAAGAACAGCAACAGAAATAAATTACTGAGCATGGCAAGAAATTAAACAGAGAGGAAAAGTAGGGAACCTACAGTAGGAAAATAACATGACAAAGATAAGCCAATATATATCAGTGAGAACCATCAATGTAAATGACCTCAATTCACCAATCAAAAGAAGCAGACTGGCAGAATGGATCAAGAAACACAATGCAACAGTATGTTGTATACAAGAAGCACATTTAATGCAAGAAGAAATTTGTGGACCAAAAGTTAAAGGATGGAAAATAATCTTTCATATGACCAGGACCTTCTCCACTCAAAAAAAAGAAAAAAAAAAAAAAAAAAAAAAAAAAAAAAAAAAAAAAAAAAAAAAAAAAAAACCACAGGAGTAGCTATTCATTTTGCAGACAATAGGAAGTTCAAACCAAAAATTATCAAAAAAGATAAAGTCACTACATACTTGTTAGGGGAAAACTGCAAGAGGAAGAGATAACAATCATAAATATGTATACACCAAATATGGAGCTCACAGTTGTATAAGACAAATATTAATGCACATGAAAAATCAAAGAAGCAATAACAAAGCTATAATGGGGGACCTTAACACCTTGTCACAAAGAGAGAGATGAACTAGATGAAAAATCAGGAAAGAAATAGCAGAACTGAAACAAACTTGTGAACAAATGGACTTAATAGACCTTTATTGAGTTCCACCCAACCACATCGGAATACACAGTATTCCAAGCTGCATGTGGAATGTTTTCTGAAATAGGCCATATGCTAGCCTATAGGATATGGTTAACTAAATGCAAAGGAATTGGAATTATCCCGTGTATATTATTGGATCATAGTGCAACAAGTATGGAAATTATTGACAAAAACAAAGAGAAATTGAATAATACCTTCTGAACAACCAGTAGGTCACAGAAGAAATTAAATAACACCTACAGTTGGAGGCTGGGGAGATAGCTCAGTAGAATAAGCACTTGGCTGGCAAGCTTAAGGGCCTGAGTTCAATCCCTGGTTAAAAAAAAAAAAAAACAACTTACAATCAAACAAAAATGCAAATACAACTTATAAGAACCTGTGGGACATGGTGAAAGCAGTCCTCAGAGGGAAATGTATATCAGTAAATTCTCACATCAGAAGGAGCACAAATAAACAATTTTATTCCTAGAAAAAGAAGAGCAAGTCAAGCCAAAGTCCAAAGAATGGAGGAAATTATAAAGATCAGAGCAGAACTTAGTGCATTGGAGACTGAACAAACAATACAAAGAATTAAGGACTGGAGATATACCTCAGCAGCATTACTGCCTGCCTGGTAAGTGCAAGGTCCTGAGTTCAATCCCTGGTACCACAAAAAAAGAGTTGGTTCTTTGAAAGAATAAACAAAGTTGATAAACCCCAACCCAACCTTATCCAAAACAGGAAAGAAGAAACTTAAATACATGCAATAAGAAATGAAAAGAGAAAAATAGCTAGAAATCTAATGGAAGATCATCAATACCTACTTTGAAAATCTTTCCTCACACGGGATGGAAGACATAGAAGAAATGGACAAGTAGATATATATGAATTAGCAAGGCTTAATTAAGAAGATACAGAAATTTTGAATGCCATAATATTAGTCAATGAAATTGAAAATGTAATTAAAAAGTTACTGACAAAGAAAATACCAGGTTCTGATGGATTCACAGCTGAATTCTACAGGAAATTTAGAAAAGATTTAAAGCCATTTCTTCTAAAACCCTTTGATGAAATTGAAAGTGAAGCACTTTTTTCCTGGTGGCAAGCATTATCATGATATCAAGACCAGATAAAGAACAGCCATAAAAGAGAACAATTGGCCAATTTCACTAATGAACATAAATGCAAAAATCCTTAATAAAATCCTAGCGAACAATGCAGCAAATCATCAAGAAGATTATACATCACGATCAAGTGGGATTCATCCTAGGAATGCAGGGATGGTTCAATATATGCAAATCAGTAAATGTTATTCACTACATACACAGATCCAAAGACAAAAGTCATATGTTCATCTCAGAAAAAAGTTTAACAATGTCCAACACATATTCATGATTTTGAAAACTGTGAAAAATCAAAATAGATGGTCTTTACCTCAGTCTGATAAAAGCCATTTATGACAAACCAACAATCAACAGCATACTAAATGGACAAAAACTGAAAGCTTCCAATCTAAAATCAGGAGTAAGACAAGGATGTCATTACCACCATGCCTTTCCAATATAGTTCTGGAAATGTGTAGAGTAATTAGAAAAGAGAGAGAAAATAATAGAAATAAAGATAGGAAAAGAAGAAGCAAAACTATCATTATTCACAGATGACATGATAATCTGCATAGAAGACCTCAAAAACTCCACCAAAATAATTCTAAAGTTAATATTCAAATTCAGGAGTTTAACAGGATACAAAAATCAACACTCAAAAATATAGCATTCTGTACACAGACAAGAAACTCACTGACAGAGAAATTAGGGAAACCATACCATAGCATCCAATAGCATACAAAAACATGAAATACTTAGGAATCAATCCAACAAAGGAAGTAAAAGATCTGAGGACTGATCTTTGATTTCTTCTTTCCAAGTACTGAGATCAAAGAGGATTTCAGAAAATGGAAAGATATTCCTTGCTAATGGATAGGAAAAACTAAAATAGTGAAAATGGCCACGGTCCCAAAATTGTTATACAGATTGAATGTAATCCTGATCAAAATACCACCAACATAACTCACAGATCTAGAGAAAACATCCCTAAAATTTATTTGGAGCCAGAAGAGACCTGGAATAGCAAAAGCAATCCAGGGCAACAAAGGCAGGGCAGGAGACAGCACACTCTTTCACTTGAAATTGTATTACAAAGCTACTGTTATAAAATCAGCAACCGGCAGAAAAGACAGACCTAAGGACCAGTGGAACAGATTAGAAAATGCAGACACAACTACAAACACACTCAGCCACCTTATCTTTGACAAAAGGGTCAAACATGTTCACTGAAGAACATTTATTCACTCTTTAATAAGTGGTGGTAGGAAAACTGGCTTTCTGCATGCCAAAGACTAAAACTCAACCCATGTATATCAACATGCACTAAACTAAAGTCAAATGGATGCAAGATCTAAATATTAAAACAAAAACACTAAATCCACTGGAGGAGAAAGTAAGTAGAAATCTTGAAGACATAGGAGTAAGCAGAGATTTCATGAATGAAATCCACACTACATGGGAAATAGTTCAAAGAATCAGAAACTGGGTCTTATCTTATTAAAAATCTTTGCACATCAAAAGAAATTACCAGTAGAGTAAAAAGACAACTCACAGAGTGGGGAGAATTTATAGCCAACTGTCCCTCAGACAAAGGACTTGTATCTAGAACATATAAAGCATTTTTAAAAATCAGGTCCAAAAATTCAGAGACCCAATCCATGAGTGAACAACTGAGACGAATACGGGCTCCTCACATGAAGGAATGCACATGGCAAATAAATATAAACCTGTTTAATGTAATTTGTCATTCAAGAGATGAAAATTAAAACAGTGAGCTTCCATCCCACCCCAGAAAGAATGGTTATCATTAAGAAATAAACCAATAACAAATGCTGAAGGGGCTGTGGGGAAAAAGGTACCCTTCTCCACTGTTTTTGGGAGGGTAGACTGGTACAATCAGTGTGAGGATTCTTCAAAATGCTAAGACTAGAGTTCCCATTCAATCCAGCTATTTCCTTTCTGGATACTTTTCCAGAAGAATTGAAAACATCATATCGTAGCTCTACATGTGCACCTACATTTATAATAGCGTAACTTGTCATAGCTAAATCTTGGAAGCAGCCCAATGCTTATAAAACAAAGAATGGATAAAGAAGATGTGGAGTTTTTATGCAATGGAGTACTACTCAGCTGTAAAGAAAGAAAAATTCAAGGCTTTTATTAGTAAATGGGTGCAACTAGAGACTATTCTCACAAATGAAATCAGGTTCAATTGTGTAAACATCATATTGTCCCCCTAGTGTAAGAAGTTGAAAGAGTTAATAATCCAAAAATTACAATAGCTCTTGTGAAAGCGAAAGAAATTGCTGAAATGGAAAGAAGAACTAGGATGGAGAAAATGAGAAAAAAGGAAGAAAAAATATTTACATGCATACTCAATATAGCTAAGATAATTGAGCTACTAATTTCTATTCATTGAAAGGAACAGTTTGTGCTTATGTTTGATTGATTTTGCATGCCTATATCTGGTAATGTGAGCAATTATTTTGAAGATAACAGTATGCAGTATAATAACCATTGTTAATCTCCTATCATCTTGCTTTGAAATTCTGTATCATGTTTGTTGTTGGTTTTTTCTCTTTAAAATAAAAAATAACCAGTTAATTTTCTTTGGATGTATATATGTACTAATGGAATTGCTGGAACATATGGTAGCTTTATTTTTAGTTTTTGAGGGACATCTGCAGAGGTTTATATCTAGATAACCCCCAGGGCCCCGTTCTCTCATAGCTGGTGCTTTTGGAGGAGAACTGGAGCGTGCTTTAGATGACCCGGGTAGGAGGTGGGGCTTGTTCGGGGCGGGGCGCGGGTTGCTTGGGGGCACAGCCGGGCGGGGCTTCTTCCTGGCTCCCGAGACAGCAGCCCCTCTACAAGGCCAGGCCTGCCGCCGCGCCTGCTTGCCGTGGAGCTGGACAGCTGTGGACTGAGAGCTTGGGCCCAAGCCACAGCCCCCTCCTTTCAATTTCGAGTTTTGTGTGTTGCACCTCAGGAAAGAGAGAATAACCAAGTAAGAGCCCACACTGCTCCTCGTGGTGCCTGTGCAAGTTATACTTCCATCAGAAGCATAACGGAGTCCTCCTTCTCCATATCAGCACAAACACTCATTGCTT